ATCTGCATTTTTTTTTTTTTTTTTTTTTTTTTTTTTTTTAATACTGGAAATTGAACTCAGGACTTTCATACTGAGGTGCATCCCCAACGCTTTTTACATTTTTATTTTGTGACAGGGTCTCACTAAGTTGCTAAGTTGCCCAGGCTGGGCTGGAACCTGCCACCTTACTTCCTCAGCCTCTCAGGATTCATGGATGACAGGCATGTGCTACCGCGTCTGCTGCCTAGAGACATTGTGATCATCCCTGGGGAGGTGAACTGCTTCTGGCATCAAGGGGAAGGCGACCAGGGTGGCTGCTAAGCATTGTGTCATGCACAGGGCAGTTCCCACAACAAAGAATCATTTGGTCCAAAATGTCACTGATTTTGTGGTTGACAAAGACCTGACTTAGAACTGTCCTCAGAGGCAGTGTGGTCTCCCATCACATCACTGAACCGCAGAGGCCTGATCTTGTTCCCTCATTCACCTGCTCAGCCAACACTTACTGAGCCCCTGCCCTGTACCAGGCTCCGTGTGATGAGCCCTGGCATAGTGAGGCAATGCTGACAGCCACAAAGCCAAGCAACAGCGGACTCAAAAAGGAGGCATACAAGTGCTGCATTAGAAATGAGAGGTAGGGGTGCTGGGCAAAATAGGACTACAAAGGTGAAAAAAAATACACATAGGAGAACTGCAGATAATTCGAGGCAAAAATGGGTGGGGGGAGATGGTGAAAAATAAAAATAAGATGTTTAGATCATACTAAGGAATGTGAACTTGAACTTTAACCTGCCAGGTAGCGTTTTTCCAAGTGTTCCTTGGAAGAAGATTCCCCCAACTGTTAACAGGAGGATGTGGAGAAAAGTCTGGTGTGTCAGGTGAAACCCAGAATGAGTGTGCCACAGAGATCTAAACAGGATTCTGTATTGTGGGGCTTTTGGCAACCTTCATTACACTCCTGGGCAGTGTGACTATCTACGAGGGGAGAAAGTAAGCTGCATTTTCCAAACATTTCAGCAGTACTTGTTTTGCAATTTAATTCTTGGAACCTTTTTGGAGCAACTTGGCCAACAGGGAGCCATTGGAAAATTAAGCAGGGGGAAGATCCGGTCCCATTTACATATTAGAAGGAACTCTCTGGCAGCCAGGGTGGAGACCAAAGACCAAAGGATTATTTGGGAAGAAGCTGACTAGGTCACTCAGATGAGAAAGGTGAAGAAATCGTAAACAAAATTCTGTTTAGTGGAGACAGAGAGAAAAGGAGCGATTTGAAAAATGTTCAGGGCTATCCTGACTGTTCACAGTAGCCTGCCCTGTGTCTTCCGGACCAGAGCGTATTTTTCTTTTTGTTTTTCTCTTTTCCTCTCTTGTTTGGCCCAAGCACGCCTTGCAGACCTAGTTTCGCCCTCACTCCTCACTTTTCAAGTAAACCTCATCACTGTTTAAAAAGCAAAAAGATGTTCAAGGAATACTCGTGGCTAACAGCCAGAGAAGACTGGGGAGAAGGCTGCAGTGATTCCCAGGTATCTGGCCTAAGATGTAAATAAACTGTGGGTCTGGACTCTAGAAAATGCCCACAGGAAGAGAATCCAATTGAGAAGGAAGAGTAGTTATGAATCACTTAGGAGGACCCAGGCAAGGAGAAGCCATAGATATAAGTTGGAGACAGAGAGCTGGGAAAATCCGAGTAAGAGGGCAGGAGATGGCTCAGGAGAGTGTGCCCAGCACTCAGGCTGCACACCCAGCTGGAAATGGAGCCAAAGTCCCAGTCTGTGAGGCCAGGGAAAGCAGTGAATCATGTGCCCCCCTTTCCATCCCAGAAACAGGGAACCAGGGATATATATATAGAAAAGGGGAGAGGAGAATGACAAACACAGCCATGGTCTTAACAATACAATAATAATCATACTAAGGGTAGCTTAGTACTAAATGCTGAGCACCTATTTCATTCTCAGGACTTGACAAATATGAAATCATTTAATCCTTCCACTAGCACTCAGGGTATGTACAATTATTTTTAATAATCCCCAGTTTTACAGAAAAGGTTAAATTATTCAACCAAAAACAAACAAATAAAGTAAAAATAAATCACTTGACCAAGTTTTCTTAGCTAGTATGTTCTACACAGACAGGAACAAAATATATAAAAGGAAGATGTAGGAAAATGTAGGGGCTGTGGAAATTGAAAGTATGACTAGATTAATTTTATTAATCAGGTTACTATTTGTTTAATACATTTTTTTTTTGGTACTGGGAATCGAACTCAGGTCCTTGTGCTCGTGAGGCAGGCAGCGGAACCTCTGGGATAAATCCCCAGCCCATACTCAGCTTTTTTTGATTGTTTGTTTGGTTTTTTAGATTTTTTTTTTTTTTGTACCGGGGTTGAACTCGGGTCCTTGCGCTTGCAAGGCAGGCCACCGAACTGCTGAGCTAAATCCCCGGCCCTTGGTTTGTTTTTTTGAGACAGGGTCTCACTATGTAGTTGAGACTGATCTGGAACTCACTCTTGTAGCCCAGGCTGGTCTCGAACTCACAGTGATCCTCCTGCCTCAGCCTCCTGAGTGCTGGGATTACAGGCATGCACCACCATGCCCGGCAGTCAGCTTTAAATGTATCAAACAAGGGCAAGGACCTGAGTTCAATCCCTGGTACCAAGATAAATAAATAAATAAATAATAAAATAAAGCTGAGTATTGTTCTTGGGTTAGTCTAGTTGGGTTAGCATGAGGAAAAATGCTCCAAACACTATATTGTCGTTATAAAGGAGTCTTTGGGGTTATTTTTCCACTTTGGGCCTTTTATTCATCTGTATTAAAAATCAGTAAGCCCACTTGAAGATACGAAATCCTCTATTACTTGTTGTTTTTTACTTAATCCATTGTTAAAATGAACACCCCCTCTGGGTTTCTGACTTAGTTTCTTCAGTAACCGAGGTGACCCACTGGTGACCAGGGCTCCAGGTGTCCCACTGGCAGTCTTCTACGGCTCTGTCACCTTATTCATTTTTTTACTTCTCACCTTTGTGAAGAACAGCTTTGCAGAAGGCCTTTTCAGAATCCTATCAGCCACCACCCATTCAGCAGCAGCATTTTCCTTGAGCTATCAGTGACACGGCAGGTAGAGTGTGGCACATCCAAGGTCCAAACTTAGTTCGGCACAGCAGGAATGTAGCTGAGTATTTAGGAGAAGCTGGATGGGGAAGAAGGGGCCCAACCAGGAAGGGTTTTGAACTACAGAAAGGTGTTCAGAGACAATGAGGGGTCCCTGAAGAGGCTCAGACAGGAGACAGGGACAGGCATTTCAGAAAAGTCACTCTGTAGAGTGGTGAATGCGTGGTAGGGGCAGCAAAGGTGGAGGCAGGAAGATGCCCAGGTTAGCGCTCCAGGGGAGAAGAGCCGGGGCTGAACCACAAGAAGGGAAAGGAAAAGACACACAGGTTGCAAGATCTGCAAGACTGCACGATGGGCTGGGCGTCGGGGAGGGCAAGGAGAAGCGCACGTCAAACTGCCTTGTGGATGTTGGACTTGTGTCACAGAATGCTCGTCAGCCTTTGTTAAGAAGGTGACCCCAGGAGCAGGAGCAGATCAGGGAGTGGAGGGGGTGACTGTGGGACACCCAGGGAGGTCTATCAGGCGGTTGACACATAGGCTTGGAACTCAAGAGAAACATTCGGGCTGGAGATTGAGATGCGGTGTACTTAACATGAAAACAATCCTCAAAGGCATGTGGGTCTGAGGGTCTGTGGAGTGGCAAGTAGACTAAGAGAAGGGACTAGGCCTTTTAGAGAAGGGCAGAAAAAGGGCAATAAAGAGGCTGAGGAGGAGCTGGCAGACAGGGAGGGAATGTTAAAAAGTTTATTGCAACTTGGGGTGTTAGCACACACCCATGAGTCCAGCTCTCCAGAGGCTGAGGCAGGAGGAATGAGGCCAGCCTGGAGTATATGGTGAGGCGCTGCATCAAAAGGTGCGGGGGCTATTGCATTTATTGTAGCCTTGAAACCAAAAGGAGAATATGCTCAAGGGAACATGTAGGGTGCTGCTGAGACTTCATAGCAACAGACAGGTTGCTGGTGACACTGGCAGGGGTGCTCTCAGGGGGACAATGAGGGTGGGGAGTGCAGGGCAGGAGGTGGAGGAGTAAAATCAAGGTCAGAAGCAGAGGAAGTGGCCCCATCTCTTTCAAGAAGTCAGCTGATGTGGGGAGCAGTGGCGCACGCCTGTAATCCCAGCACTCGGGAGGCTGAGGCAGGAGGATCGCTGTGAGTTCGAGACCAGCCTGGGCTACACAGGGAGCTCCAGGTGAGGAGAGAAGTTGGAAGTTAA